TCATATCCTGAAATTGCTCGTAAGTTTTAGTGTATAATTCATATTTATAATTATTAATTTACTCACAACAAATTCTAGTGTGATCAAATACATTTGCAATCTATAGTAATAAATTTTAACTACACCAAATCAGTTTTTGGTTTTTAATATAAACAACGTACTGAGCCGCACAATCCAATCGTGTTTTCCTTTGTATTTCGCTAAATCATTCCTCTTGACAGTGCTCATCAATCTATTCATGACCTGTCGAGTTGACATCTCCGTTCATCTACTGGATTCGGGAAACCTTAATTCCCTATGGAAATTAGTAAGGGGTGTAGTGACGCTCGTTACGCTTTCGCCAACATTCCCCGACCCGTAAAGCTGCTCCGATCCTCCAGCTTTACTCCGATCCATGATATCCAAGACTGCAAGCTTCGTCACAGGTCTCCGAAGTACTCCTGACGCCGTCCTGATGTTCGCTTGCCTGACTCGTCCATCCTTTCCGGGAAACACCGTTATCACGATCCCCCGTATCCAACGGTTCCTCACGCCTTCGTCCACCGAGAATACGACATCTCCTACTGCAATGGGTTTCGTATCTTCAAACCACTTCGTTCTTCGAGTAATCGTCGGTAGATACTCTCGGATCCATCTGCGCCAAAATTGATCGAGCATGTATTGGCACAGCTTCCATCCGCTCCGAAGTGCTTCTCCTTCGTCCGTTGGTGCCTTCTCTGTTTGCTTCGCTCCATCCGAACTAAGCAGAAGGAAGTGATTCGGCGTAAGTGCTTCCTGATCCGACGTCTCTAGCGGCATATATGTCAACGGCCTCGTGTTGACCATAGACTCTGCCTCACACAGAACGGTTTGGAACACTTCCTCTGATGGTGTCCTTGGATGGTTGATGGAGTTCATTGCTGCTTTAACCGCCCTAACCATCCTCTCCCAAGCACCGCCCATGTGCGGGGAGGCAGGCGGGATGAAACTCCACTGGGTGTTAGCGTTCGTGAAACTTTCTGACAATTTCTGGTTGATATCCCTCATCTGTTTCGCCATCTCTCGTTCTACTCCAACGAAGTTTGTCCCGTTGTCAGTGAAAATACGAAGTGGGGCTCCTCGTCGTGCGATGAACCGCCGTAGAGCGAGCTTGCACGATTCCGCCGACAGAGATGCTGCGACTTCGAGATGAACCGCTCTAATGGTGAGGCATGTATAGAGCACGACCCATCGTTTCACCTGACTTCGACCAATCTTGATCAAACATGGTCCGAAATAATCGATGCCGACCAGGGAAAACGGACGAACGAAAGGTGTCACACGTTCTTCCGGAAGCGGAGCCATCCGAGGAACTTTTGGTTGGGCCTTGTACACGCGGCACCATAGGCATCGCCGTGCTATTTTCTGAACTTCCGTGCGCAGATTAGAGATGTGAAACTTCTGCCGGATCTCATTGACCACGGTCTCTCCGTTTTGATGACCATACATTCTGTGATACCGATCGATGAGTAACTCGGTGATGCGATGACTTTTCGGCAAGATCACTGGATATTTTGCGTCGTACGTAGCATATGGTGAAGCACCTATACGACCACCCATCCGGAGTACACCACAATCGTCGATAAACGGAGATAGATTCCTTATGGGACTGGTCTTCTTGACGTTTGCCCAAGTATCACTACTCCTGTCCGGATTTTTCCTCAAAGTAGTCACCTCATCTGTATACGCTTCCGCTTGCGCCAGTCGCCATAGAGCTTGCTCTGCTTTCCTGAAGTCCTCCTGGTCCAAGTTCGCCTTTGAAACTTCTGCTGCACATTCTAATCCACGACATTTTCTAACAAAGTGGTATACATATGCAGTAGCTCGCAACAGTCGTTCCCATGTCGAGAACCGACTGCAATCTATAAAGCCGGTATCAACGATTTCCGTGTGGATGTGAACTGCGCGCAATTCTTCATGAATCTCGATGAACTTCACCTTTTGCTGGGGCCACTGATCTTCTGGTTCGTATAGAAAGTCTGGACCTACAAACCACCGATTGGATAGACGCAAATCGGGAACGCCCTTCCACTTCGTTCCGTCATCAGCTATGTTGAATTTAGACGGAACGTGTCGCCATTCTTGTACGTTTGTGTCCTCCAAGATTTCTCCGACTCTTACTGCAACGTATTGGCGATACCTTCTTGCATCTGATCTTATCCACGACAACACTGTATCAGAATCAGTCCAGATGTACCTTTTTTGGATTTCTATGGTATGATTCTCGACAATCGACTTCATCAGTCGACTACCCAACAACGCTGCTTGCAGCTCTAAGCGCGGAACCGATAGCGGCTTCAGAGGTACTACCTTCGTCTTTGACGCAACCAGCGCATACCGTGGTTGTCCGCGATCGATTACGCGGAAGTAAGCTACGCAAGCCAAAGCGGACAGACTTGCGTCCACAAATATATGGAGCTCCAATGTTTGGTAACTCTGCGTTAAATACCCCGGAAAATAGCAACGAGGTACTCGTACTTGGTCCAGGGTGCTGAAACTGTTTGCAAAACTGATCCAGCTTTCTTCAACATTCTCCGGAATCACTTCGTCCTATCCGACTCCACATCTCCAAAGATCTTGGATCAATATTTTCCCATGGATGAGAATGTGAGAGATCAGACCGAGGGGATCGTACAAGCTCATAATGAATCGAAGAATCTTCCTCTTCGTTGGCGGTGAATCTCCCGACACGAGATGCTGTAGATCCTCTGGTAACGACAAACTGAAGATGAATTCGTCCTCATTTGGTAGCCATGCCATTCCCAGAACTCGTTCAACCTGATTAACCTTATCGTTGCCGAATTCTTTGCGATGAACGACGTTCTGCTCTCCGATACCTTGCAGCACCTTCGATGAGTTCGACAGCCAATTTCTGATTTCGAACCCGGCTTTTGCGTGAACGGTACGAACGTCTACAGCCAGCTTCGTCATTTCCTCTTCGGTGTCCCGGCTATCCAAGTAGTCATCCACATAATGGTTTTCTACTATAGCCACTGCCGCTTCCGGAAACTCAAGCTCAAAATCTTTCGCATTTCGGTTCTTAATGTATTGAGCTTGACAAGGTGAACACGTCGACCCAAAGGTAGCCGCATCCATAATGAAGATTTCCGGAGCTGTTGATGGATCAGGACTCCATAGAAAGCACTGAGCCATGCGGTCCACTCGCCGAATGAAAAATTGGTGATACATCTCCCGCACGTCTCCTACGGCAGCTACTTGCCGTTGTCGAAATCGAGACAGCACTTTCGGAAGTGGAGTTAGCAGATCCGGACCCTTCAATAGCATTCCGTTGAAGGATACACCGTTTACCTTTGCAGCTGCATCCCAAATCATTCGAACTTTCCCAGGTTTTCGAGGATTGACTACCACCCCCAACGGCAGAAACCACATTCGAGTAGGGTCGGCGTCTTGGATCTCTTTCTGCGACGCCTTGTGAGCGTAGCCTTTCTTCTGATAATCTTCGATTTGCCCTTCCAAATTCGCTTGCAGCTCCGGGTTCAATTTCAAACGTCGCTGAAGACATGCTAACCTCCTTTCCGCCATAGCGTAGCTAGAAGGAAACTGCACCGTGTCGCTGCGCCATAGCAATCCTGTCTCATAGCGACCGTCTTCCCGTCGCATTGTTGTTCTCTCCAGGATCTCTCGTGCCCGTCGATCTTCTTCTCCCTCGAGCGTACGTGGTATCGAAATACCAAGACTTTCCTCCGCGAAGAAACTCTCCACCAGCTCATGTAGACCTTTCAACTCCTCGCATTTACAAATGTGGAACGACGGTGCATCATTGATCTTAGCAGAATCACCGATGCTGCCAAACACAGTCCAGCCCAATCTGGTTTTCGTAGCGACTGGCTCCTGTGCTCCTCTTTCTCGCCTTTTCAGCGGAATAGAAAGACGCACATTATCGAGCCCTATTAAGATTCTTGGAACGGCTTGCTCGTAGCTCTGAACTGGCAGTCCCTCCAGATAAGGATAACCTTTTGCAAGATCCCCGTACCGAAGAGTTTGTACCGGTAAATCCAAGCCCGCGACAGTTCGGACATTTTCCAGTGTAAATCTTGTACCACCAGATGCACCGAAAATCTGTAAGCTTATGCGACGAGACGTAGGCTCACGCCGCGTGACATTCGCTGTCCAGGTTAAACACAAAGGTTGAACTTCTCCGTCAATGTTCAATTGATCAGCGATTTCTGCATCCATTAGTGTCAAAGATGAACCTTCATCGAGGAAAGCGAAGGTTTCGATCTGTGTCTTCACCCCATACAACGTTACAGGGATGATACGAAATACTGTGGAGCATTTTACTTGACGATGAACAGAAACGACTGCCGGAGATCTGGCCCCCGAACGCGAGGAGTCATGGGATTCCGGGAGACCCGGGTGTAACATTGTATTATGGTCCTTAGAACAACCCCCTACGTCACAAACCCGTGTTGATTTGCATGGCCACTTACCGTGTGCTACCAAGCATCGTCTGCAGAGTTGGTGTGTTTGGACTGCTTTCCAACGGTCCCCAAGCGTAAATGATTTAAATTCAACACAGTCCCTGATTCTATGCTTGTTACTTTGACAAACGTAACATGGTCTAGCTTGACTATCTACCCTCTTACCTGCAGGACTTTCTTGCTTACGATAGTCTTGCGAATAATGCGCATTCATATACTCCCTGTCGTTCGATTTTTGTTTCTCAGGCCGGCTCGATCGTTGACCACCGTGCTCGTGGAAGTGAGTAACGTCACTGGCTGCAGAAGTTATGGTGGTCATATATTCGCTGAAGGTACCCAAATCGACGAATCCGATGCGTTTCTTGTACAGCGCCCAATCCAAACGAATATTGGCAGGCAATTTGTCTACTAGCTCACTCAACAACGAGGGGTTCATCAAATGTGCCTGCTGGTTCGCTGCTTTCAGGAGTCCGACGAGATTCTGCACGGTGATGCCGAATTTAATTAATTAATTTAGCTTTATTTAGGAGGCTTTCAGCCTTAGGCTGGTTCGCCTCCGAGACCGGTGATGCCGAAGTTGACCAGTGTTTCCAAGCGCTCTAACTTGGGGGCTGGTACAGACCGCACCTTGTTCAGCATCGACTGCAGCAAACGGTCAGGACTACCAAATAACGTTTCTAGCGTCGACAATACTTGAGGAACTGAAGCAGGAATCAGGAGATTACTTCGGACAGCTTCCAGTGCGCTTCCCTTTAAGCACCTCTGCAACCTCATCAGGTTTTCTGCATCCGAATAACCACACATCGCCGTTGAGTTCCGGTAGCTACTAATAAATAGCGGCCATTCCTCTGGGTTTCCATTGAAAATCGGAAGATCCCTAGGCACTACCTGCCTAGCTGCTAATTGCTGCTGAAAATCAACATATGACACAGCCCGTTGATGTGGCGATGGATTTGATGTTATTGCTTGTGGTACTGATGTACCTGGTAAAAATGGCTCTGAAACGGTCGGATGTGGTAGTGGCGAAGTATTCGATACCACCGTGCGCAGCACAGATGGTGGTTGAGATCGTTCGTCGAATTGATCACACATTGCCGATCCCGATGGATGCGCTAGTGTGTGCGATTGTTGAAACGATGCCTGCGATGTTGGAGGTAGGTGTGCGCTCGAACGTTGTTCCGTTGAACGATGGATGGTTGGCTCTTGAGGTGAGTGTACTAACGGTGGGGTGCAGGACGGAGGTGATATCAGCGATCGAAAAGTTGGTGGTCGTTGTTGTGATGAATTCGGTTGCGACTCGAGATTCGACACATAGAGCTGTTGGACACTCGATCGTAGTAATGATGGTTCGCTTACTGGTGGGGGTGAGACAGGTACCTGAGCAGCTGGTGGCCTCGATGGTGGTTCCGGAAATAAAAACGTTGGTGGGCGTGTTCGGGGAACCAGTTTTGAAAGTGTAGGTTGCGACTGCAAAGGTTGAGCTAACACCGACTGCGTGTATACTGGTTGGGTAAACACCGGCTGTATAACCACCGTTTGTGTTGGTAACGAACTTTGTACTGTTGGCTGTCGTACTATACCAACAGATCGAATCGGAGTAGATGCTGTGATCGGGTCTTTCATACCAGGTAGCGAACCCGTATTCTCAGTACCAACATTATCGGCAATCCATTCAGTCGTTGGCTGGCGTGATGGATTCCTGTACCTGTCGTTCAAATGTTTCAACGGATTTTTCGAGACTGCTCCCGTATACTTCGTCAGCATACCTCCACAAGGTACACCCGATTCAGTACCGATCGAAATCGGTGGAAAAATGTCGTTGATGTTCACTGGAATGAGATTTCCCCCGACAGCTCCGTCCAGCTCCTGGATCCATTCCTGAACTTGGCTGTTTCGACTCATTCGGCTGCGACGACTTCTACGGCTGCCCGCCTCCTCTTCCTCTGCTTCAGCGATGAGCAAGGCGTACTTTTCGTCGAGATATTTTTTATCTAGTGCAGCCTTCGCCGCCAGCCGAGCACGATCTTGTTGCTGTTGCTCTTGTATGAGCTTCTCTTGCGACTTTCTCTCTTCCTCCAGCCGCATGAGCTGAAATTGAATCCGTGTCGACTGCGAGATGTTGCTGGATTTTCCAGAGGTCGAAGCACCACTGACTGTCCAGGTCGAGATGCAATCCTTGCATGTCCACTTGCCAGTGAAACCCTCAGCCACCTCCGCACACGTACAATGGTACCAACGACGGCATTGATCGCAAGCTACCATTTCTTCTACATGGTTGGGGTTTTTGCACAACTCGCAAATGCACTGAGGTATCTCAGCATTGGCCTTCGCCGCAGCTCGTGTAGTAGTGGGCATCGTGGATTCGTCCTCTATCTGACCTCTATGGTCTAACAATCCGCTTTGGGCAACTACGCTCTGCTACCACAGAATGTGCAGAATTCTTTAAAGATTGTTGTCACGTCGAAGTAGAATTTGGGAAACACAGTTCTTTTAGCAATTCCTTTGCCTATATTTTCAGCAGTAATGCTTTAAAGCTAAAAAAGTATAATTTCTGTTAGTTAACATAAACTTAGGTTCGCAGATTTTAAAGCTCACAATTCTGGTGACCCTATTCGCCTTATCTACTTCTAGCGGACAATTGTGCTCGTTGTTTATATTTCCTGTATTTTGTAATCAATTTTATGTTATAGTTAAACTAGTTCATAAGGCATGTACCATAATTTACTTACGATTTTAAGAGGATTTGCATTAATAGATAATTCAATATTTATTCGATTAGGATAACAAATTATCTGTGTTTGTCATATCCTGAAATTGCTCGTAAGTTTTAGTGTATAATTCATATTTATAATTATTAATTTACTCACAACAAATTCTAGTGTGATCAAATACATTTGCAATCTATAGTAATAAATTTTAACTACACCAAATCAGTTTTTGGTTTTTAATATAAACAACGTACTGAGCCGCACAATCCAATCGTGTTTTCCTTTGTATTTCGCTAAATCATTCCTCTTGACAGTGCTCATCAATCTATTCATGACCTGTCTAGTTGACATCTCCGTTCATCTACTGGATTCGGGAAACCTTAATTCCCTATGGAAATTAGTAAGGGGTGTAGTGACGCTCGTTACGCTTTCGCCAACAAAACTGTTATTTAAATTGATTAGATTTTTTTACAAAGATGGGCACCACCGACCAGCTAGGCATTTTATTTTGATGGATCTCAGTAAAAAACTTGCCGAGATGCAGCAAAATTTACGTTTGTTAGCTGAAATCTCGGATAGATTCCCGTTTTTTAGCTGAATCTGGGCAAGTTGTTCACTGAGATTCGGCAAAATAAAATGCCGAGCTGCTCGGCGGTGTCCATCTCGGCAAAAAAAATCTAAGTGTAAATTGTAAATTCACAAAGTTTTTGCTAAGTACAAGCAAAGAAAATATTGCCGCTTCAGAGAAAATAATGTGACGCAACTGACAGCCAATGCTATTTATTAAGGGCCACCCACATTAGATCCGGATCTGAAGCGTTGCGACAAAGTGACAGCTAAATCTATTGCATAACTGTCAAATTTACGTCAACGCAACGCTAACGGATCTAAGGCTTATAATCTGACACCAAATGCTATTTTTTCTCTTATTTGGCAATATTCACATATTACTGAAAACCGTGATCAATTTGACCCCGGTTTTCGGTACTTATTGTTTAAGCACCAAGTTTTGAAAATAATTAATTAATTAATTTAGCTTTATTTAGGAGGCTTTCAGCCTTAGGCTGGTTCGCCTCCAACCGTTTTGAAAATATGCATTAAATCGAAAATGTGGATACTGTGTAGGGGTGCTATTTTTTCATGTATTTTATCCAAAGTCCCCATATAAAATTCAAACAGCGCCAGCTCATCTTACAACCAAATGTGTTGAAACTTTCACAGGGTGGCCACTGAATTAAGATTTTTAATTCCCAGTTGTCCATGATAGTTATTTTTTCAGTTTGATAAAAACAACTAGATTTGAAAGATGAAAGATAATGAGAGCTATTATTTTTTAAGAATACTGCACATATTGAAATCAAAATTTCACGACAACCGAAAATTGTCAAGATCTAAGGATGAAAAATTATTTCAGACTTTGGACTTTGAAACATTTTCAATATTCTAGAATTTGAATTTGTTTTTTACTTTACATTTCAAAAAAATTTGAACTAAGGATTTTCGGGCCACTGAACTTAAGATTTGTAGAGGATATGCTCCTATAGTTGCGGTACGTTAGAAGCGTTAGGTTCCTATAGTTGTGCATTGAGACTCAATACACAACTATAGGAACCTAACGCTTCTAACGTATCGCAACTATAGGAGCGTTTTCCCTAATTCCAATTTTTTCCCCGATTATCTACGGAATTTTTCCCGTGTTGATAAAAACAGCTAGATTTGAAAAATATCTAACCAGAACTTTCGAAATCCGAAGATTCTGGTGTTTTCATCATACGGAAAAGTTTGTATATTTGGAGCTATTATTTTTTGAACCATTTTTTTAATTCGGGACTAAGGATTTCTTCTCCAAGATCTCAGATATTATGGACGAAGACAAAGGTCTTCAATCCTCATGAATTGAATTGCTGATCCTGGATTAGGAGACAATTGTAAGATCTCAAATGAAGAAAATGATCTGGAAGTTCACAAAATTTTCAGGATTCTTCAGAATTTGACTTCGAAAAATGAGGAATATCCTAGACATAGAATTTATTTTTCAAGAGTCTAGGACCTCTACAATTCTAATTCCAATTTTCATATAGTTGGCTCTAGGTGAAAATAAAAGTAAATGAATAAATATCCTGAAATACCGAACAAATATTGAAGGTCCTGGACGCATCAAAACATTTCAAAATTCAGGCACAAAAAACCATCAAGATCTTGAGTTATGAAAAAATATGAAAAACTCAGAACCTAGATAAATTGTCAAAATGAATTAAAATAAAAGTAGTTAAACAAAATATTTAAAGGACGCAATAAAAATTTCCGGTTATTTCCTGTTTTTTTTTCCGGTTGTTCTCAATTCCCGGTGGCCACCCTGGATTTATTTTTCAAGATCTCGAATGCCATGTCAACTAAGACAAATTTGTATGATCATTAATCCTCATGACGTGATCCTGGAGTCTCTCTGATGAAACAAAAAAATATCCCAAACGAAAAAAGAAAAGATCTCAAACTTTACATAACTTTCAGAATTCTGAGGCTTAATTGAAAATCTCAGAATATAAAAAAAAAACGAACAGAAAATTTAAAAAAAAATCCAAAACATCGAAAAAGTACAGATCTTGGATTTAGAATAATGAGGATGCGATCAAATTCACGGTAATTTCCCGGTTGTTATCAATTTCCGGTTGATTTCCAGTTGATTTCTGGTTGATTTCCGGTTAAATGGCCACCCTGAATTTTTTTTTCAAGATCTCGGATGTCATGAAATAAGACAAATTTTTATGAACTTCAATCCTCATGACGTGTATCCGGATCCTAGAGTCTCTCCAATAAAACAAAAAAAAAATATCTCAGACTTTACAAAACTTTCAGAGTTCTGGGGCATAATTGGAATCCCCAAAATATAAAAAAAAACCGAATAGATAATTTTTAAAAATCCCAAACTTTGAAAAAGTACAGATCTTGGACATAGAAAAATGAGGACGATCATAGACATAGAATTAATTTTTCAAGATTCTAGGACCTGAATAATTTAAATTTTCATATTCCGGCACTCCGAAAACATTTAGAGATCTCTGATTTGGAAGAATTTTTAAGATCCAGAACAGATAAAAACATTTCAAAATGCAGTTACTTAAAAAAAAAAATCACGATCTTGAACGATGGAAAAATTTCAAAAATAAATTTTCCAAATAAATTAAGATTTAAATAGATAAGCAAATTATTTTAAAGATGAGGTCAAATTCCCCGTTGTTCTTCCGGTGGTTTATTTGATATGCATTAAAAAATAACTTAAAATACAATAGCAGGGCTGGTAGCGATCACTGCTGTCAGAAATAGTGATTTTAGTGACCATGTTGAATAAATAATTGACCAAATAGTGACTTATAGTTGTGAAAATAGTGACTAAAAAGTGACATAAGAGAAGGCGCATCAAATGAATGTTTGATGTTTTAGACTTATTCAACACGCATGAACGATATGAACCTTTAAAGCGAAAGATTCAATAGAAAGTTAATAACCAAACCCACGTGTAGTCTATTAGTTTATTAGTTACTAACTTCAAAAATCTGGAAAACCGGGAATCCTTAGGAAATTTCTTGTTTCCTTAAAATACCTGGAAGTCTCAAATAATTAAAAAAAACAATGTTACTAAAGATAATTCAAGGAAAATAATGAATTTTAAAATACAACCATTTAATTTTTCTCGTTATTTTCATTCACACTTGGAACTTTAAAGATTCACAGTGGATTAATCTTCAGTAAGAAAAAAAAAATTAAAAAGAATGCTTTTTGAAGACCACTGTCCTTCTGTGAAGTTTCCGAAGTTTTTCTAAATTTATGGAACATTTGTGCTCCCGCAATTTTCATGGAATTAGAACGAAATAATTAATATAGTTCTAGGATTTTCACTGAAGGCCTCAAAATTTTTCTGAAGTTCATAAAACTTCCCTAAATTATCGACACTAATTTAAAACTTCTCCAATAGTCTAGACTTTCCTGGTGCCTAAACGATTACTAAATTTTCTTGAAGTTCTCTAGACTGCCCTGAATTTATCAGTATTTTTTTAAGAACCCGCAACTTTACTAAAATTAATTGATTTGCCTGGAAGTTTCGAAAATTTTCCTTGAGTATTATAACCATTATTAACACTCACTTTTCCCTGAGCTTATCTATGCTTACCTGAAATATTATGAAATATATTCATAATTCCCTGACGCTTCTGACGTTTTAGGATTCTTGGAATACCCTATAATTTCACGGAACTCAACAGATTTGCTTAAGTTAATGGGATTATTCTGAAGTTATCTGATCGTCCTCGAAGGACTCGGAAGTTCGCTGAATATCATTAAACTATCTAAGCATATCTAAATTTATTACTCTGGAATTTCTTGAAGATATCGCTGCTTGCTAAAAGATCTCGCTTTTTGACGTAGGACTACGTCTTTGATTTCTATATGGGGGTACACTTTGTGAAAACCGAAAATGGAACATGTAACAAATTAAGAAAGATTTTGAACGTTAATAACTCAGCTGCCCCTGATCCAATTTCAATAATTTTATCACCAATCGATCAGAAATATGGCTACACATCGATAACAATGCTTCCGAATGTTGATTTTCAACAAAAAAAACTATTGAAAAACTGGTAAATGTCCAGC